TATTAATAATAGAAATCCCTTTAATTTTAATAGTTGTGACTTTCCATAAAATCTGAGGTTAATTTTGTTTTTGCAACATGCAACTTTTAGAAATTTTGTAGAACTAGTTATAATATCTTAAAAAGTGTCTTTCTACAGTTATTAATTTTAAGAATTGTATCTTTTTATTATAGAAGTTGTGTCTATTCATGCAAAAAACTGAGAATAATTTTGTTTTCCCAACATGCAACTGTTGGGAAAGTTCTAAAAGTAGTTAAAGATAACTTAATATGTGTGTTTCTATTTTTTTTTTCAATATGAAAGTATTGGAATTATTTTTAAAAGTAGTTATAAGAATATCTTAAAAAAAATGACTTATTAATTTAAGTCTTGTGTCTTCTTATTATAATAGTTGTGTATTCATAAAAAAAAATGAGATTAGTTCTGATTTCCTAACATGCAACTATTAGAATTTTTTATTTAAAAATAGTTAAAATATCTTAATCAATAAAATCTTTCTAGAATTATTAGTTTTAAGAGCTGTGTCTTGTCATTAACTATGTGTCTTTTAATATTAATATACTATATTTTTATAATGATATTTCTATTCGTAATATACTTAAATCTGTTATCTTATAATAATTATATACTTTGGAATTTAACCAAATGTTAAAGTTTGTGTCTTTCCATCTTAAAAATGTGTGTTTTTTTTAAAGTTGCATTGATTTTAAAGATGTTATAAAATATTAAGTACGTATCTTTTTATCTAATATTGTGTCTTTTCATTTTTAATAGCTATATTAATTTAAAAGTTGTTTATCTAAAATATATTTTTTCATCCAAAAAATGTGTTTCTTCATCCTAAAATTTTTGTAAGCTTAAGAAAAGTTGTCACAGTTTATAAATATGTGTATTTCATCCCAATAATTGAAATGGTTGAAACATTCTCTTTTATTCATCAGTTTGATATAATGTGCTATTTATTTAGTGAATCAATATTACACGTAAATAAGAGAGGATTATTAGCTATTTATGTGAATCTTTGCAATTGTTTAACTGAACCATTGCAAGTGTTTAGTGAAACAGCTACAAATTATTAAATGAAACATTACAAATAGTGATCAACTATTGCAACTTTTGAAGTGAACCATTACAATTATTCATGACTACAATTTTTGGTGATAAATAGTTGCAACATTTGGTGTTAGCCAATCCTTTGCAACAGTTAGTCCTCTATATAAGAATTTATGGAGATTCAATAATTACAGTTAGAAAATTAAAAAAATCACAAATAAACAATAAATGTTATAAACTTCTTTGAAAACAATAATACAATGATTTTTCTCTTTTTGTGACATAAAAAATTCTTTTATATTATACATTTTTTAAAATCTATGGAAAGTTAAAGGTTATATGTTTTTTTCTCTTTTGTGATATATAAACTTATTTAAAATAATAACAAGACACTCTACATAAAAAAATTTAAACTATACAAAGTGGCCTTTTTTAATAAAATGAATCAGGATAATAACTTAAACATATATAGAAAATTCAATGTGTGTGATTTTACCAATCGGTTATAACTTTTAAATGGTGTATTTTTCATGTAACAATTAATTATTCACAAATTTTTCTCTATTTATATTTGTTTTTTCAAGGATTTTTCTGTTGAAATATTTGATACAAAACTACTTATAAAAGTATTAGTTGAATACTTTAAAGACTCACACCTTAAATGAATAAAGTTTTGGGACCAAAAAAATTACATAATGCTTAATAATTATTTCTTATTAAATACAATAATCAGAATAACAGAATAGTTTGCATTATCTTATTCTTATTACTTCTGGTAATTAAATTCAATAAATGTTTATCTTAAAAAATCATAATTATTTCATTGACATTACAAATCAATTGATGTATNATACAATAATCAGAATAACAGAATAGTTTGCATTATCTTATTCTTATTACTTCTGGTAATTAAATTCAATAAATGTTTATCTTAAAAAATCATAATTATTTCATTGACATTACAAATCAATTGATGTATTATGTGATAATACTTGGAAAGACAAACAATGTAAGATTCTTTCCATTTATGTAATGTTATATCAAAATTTGCTTCTTAACTTGTCCATAATAAAATGAGGTCACGATAATAACTTAAAACATACATAGAAACTTCAATGTGTGTGATTTTACCAATCGGTTATAACATTTAAATGGTTTATTTTTTATGTAACAATAAATTATTCGCAAGTTTTTCTCTATTTATATTTGTTTATTCAAGGATTTTTCTGTTGAAATATTTGATACAAACTACTTATAAAAAAAGATTAGTTGAATACTTTAAAGACTCAAACCTTAACTGAATAAATTTTTTAGGACCAAAAAATTTACATAAGGTTTAATAATTATTTCATGTTAAATACAACAACCAGAATAACATAATAGTTTGCAATATCTTATTCTTATTACTTCTGGTAATTAAATTTGATAAATTTTATTTTAAAAATCATAACACAGTTATTGACATTACCAATCAATTGATGTATTATGTGATATACTTGAAAAGACAAACAATGTAAGATTATTTCCATTTATGCAATGTTATATCAAAATTTGCTTCTTAATTTGTGAGTAATATATTTTTTGGAAAGACTTTTTTATTGATAAGACAAATAATGAATAAGAAAATAAAATTTTATGATGTATGATAAGAAGGATATGTTAATAGATAAAATACCTTAAACTTACCATGTAATCACGTTTTTGACTATACATGTCTTACATAGTTTCAAACAAATTTGAATATTAGATTTGTCATTATAAATTACCTTACTACTTTAGTAAATGATTAGATTAGAATTTTCTTTTTAATTAATTTCAAACAAGTGGATCCATTTGGTCACTGCATATAAATGTGTGAATCTTGTAAAAACAATCTTGATTAATTAAAGTCAATCTATAATTTAGGAATAGTGGAGCTTAACTTAGAATGTTTCCTAGGTATTAGAGATTTATAATTCCCTCCGCTTTAATATTTGACGTTTTAGGATAAATTGTTTGTTTCAAAATAGAGGATGTTTTCAATTTTTATATAAAATTTATTAAAAGGCAATGTTGAATGACCAATGATATTTTCTCTTCTATTTTTATTGATTGAATTGTGGTTAGGTAAATGATTAATGATGTTTTTGTTTGGAAAATGTACGAAATTAAATATTTTCTTAATCTATGTGCAGAATATTTAAACGACATCTATTAAAAACGGAGGAAGTATTTGTTTTTATTAGTTATGGATAATGGATAGTTATCTTTTTATTTAAATATTTACTAATTTGTAGTTTGCCTATTTAAGTTTTCTAAATCAATCAAATGTAATTTCTAATTCTTTTCTTTGAAATTTCCTAACAATGTAAATGATGGGAGAATGGACCTAGTAAACATCACTTGTAATGACTGTTTTGTGGTTTTCCTATTAATGAAATAGGAAAATGCATTAACTCTCGAGTAGAGGATCCATAGACTCCACCTTTCTTTCACTTGTCTTACGGAAGACAATGGTCTTCTCGTTTATCCAAAGGCATGGCAATATAATTATGAGGTGGGGATTACCCATGTCCTCTGTAGTCATCTAAAATACTATTATAATAATTTCCTTTTTTTGGTCAAACACTACTATATATATATTAGAAACATAATTTATTGATATTAAAGAATTTTTGATATTTATAAAGATACATCTTTGACCCAAAACTTTTTGGTAATGTTGAAATTGTTATTCAAAACTCATATTCGAATACATATTGATGTAGGAGGTAATGTTTCACCTATAAATACAGACACATCAAAATTTATGCATCATACAAAAATAAAGATCATAAGAAAACAGAACTGTACGAACAAAATAAATAAACATCAAAAGTTCTCATCAATTCGTCGAAAGGTAGTATGCTTATACAACTCTAAGTCTCTCACCATAACATTAAATTTTGTGTTGAAACTACACCATATTTGATATTTTAGTGTCAAATATTTTTTTTCATCGGCAACCATAATATCAAATATTACTGCAAAAAATAATATTATATATTACTCTATGTTTTAATTTTTAAAATTTTATATTTTATTATTTTTAAATGATAAATAATTATTTTATCACACTTTAATATTATGTTTGTTAATTTTTATAATTTTATATTATAAGATTTAATTAGATTTATATTTTTGGTTTAAAAATATTATAAAATATTAATCATATTTAAATTATATTAAAAAGCTATTAATTATATATTAGTTTAATATTTTATTTTAAAAAAACTAAAATAAATGCTAATAAATATGTAGTAATTTTTTACTTGAAAATAAAATTAAAGATATTGTAATATGTAAAAACAACTTTATATAAATAATATAATATATTATGTATAGTCATAAATTTGAAAAAAATAATAGTTGAAATTATTATTAAATAAAATATGTATATAAATATTTGGTGTGATTAATAGTGTTACACCAAATTTCGTGTAACACTACTCATCCTACACTATATTTCGTGGGATGGTGTCATTTTTGATGTTTTATTGTAGATATAACTACGCCAAATTTTGTGTTTTGGTGTCCAATGGAATTAGCCTTACCTTATGTTATGACGAGTTAGAATATTATATTGTTTTAGTATACATAAAATTTAAATTTATAATTCCTGATTTATTTTAAATGTATTTTAAACAAAAGAAAAAATTCAAATAGACAAACTTGTATATATATATATATATATATATATATATATATATATATATTACAACATTTTATGAAAACTATAACAATGTTATATAAGGATGAGAAAAATTACGAAGCTAAATATGTATATTTTCAAGTAATAATATCTATATTTTTTTTGTTTGAGGTACACTTCCATATTAATAAAACAAAACTAATCATGATTTGTTTATTTTTGTGCAAGTGGAAATAGATCAGTGCTTGGATAAGAGCTGATGGCCAGTAATCAAAGCATGCATGCCCAACCTGAATTAATAGGTATATGTGAGAAATTCTTCGATTTGATTTTTGTTTCTGACTGAAGAAAAATATTTATCCATAATTTTATTCTGACTGTTTGTATAGCTACAGATGGAATCAATAACTATTTGTATGGTCAATTATGGAAGTTATGTGCTGGTCCTCTGTTTGATCTACCAAAAGTTGGAGAAAAAGTATTTTACTTTCCTCAAGGGCATCTAGAACAGGCAACAATTTTTGTTACTCAATTATTTCTTTCAGATAAATTTTGATTCGCAAAACTTATTCCAAAATTTTATTGTGATACCAGCTAGTTTTTTATTTATTTTTTATTTATTTTTTATTTATTTTTATTTATTTTTTATTTATTTTTGTTATACCAGCTTACATCTATAAACGATGAACTATGTCAACTAAAACCAGTTTTTGATATTCCTTCAAAAATTTGTTGCAATGTTTTTAGTATCAAGCTTAAGGTATGACTTATTGATTATTTATGTTTCTTATTTATAAAATGCACATGAACTATACTGATGTTTTTTGGAGCTATACTAACTGAGTGTAAATGCTATTATATTGCTTGGGGTATATTTTTGTATGGCCTTAGGTAGAGATCTCTACAGATGAAATTTATGCAGAAATTTCTTTGTTGCCTGATACATCTGTGAGTAGCAAAATAATAAATTATCTTTAATAATTTGATTGCAGCTCTTCTTAATATCTCTTTAAATTAATATCATGAGTTTCTATTTTGTTAGGAAGTTGAAATCCAAACTCCTAAACATGAAAACAACGTACAAAACATTAATTATTTCACTAAGGTGTTAAGTGCCTCTGATACCGATAAAATGAGTCGTTTTGCTTTGATTAAAAGACATGCCATTGAATGTCTTCCTCTGCTGGTATGAACACTGAATTACATTGATTCAATTTTTAAAATGTTATATCAAATTTTATATCAAATATTTTCTTTAGGATATGTCTCAGCCAACGCCGAGTCAAGAGGTAATTGCTAAAGATATTCATGGTCAAGAATGGAAATTTAAACATACTTTAAGAGGTAACCACAAATTTTTATTCATATCATTACGAGTATTGATTACTTATATTTATTTTCTTACAAAAAAATCAATTAGGTACACCACAAAAACATCTTTTCACATCTGGTTGGAATGAGTTCGTAAAAGAAAAAGATTTGATTGTTGGAGATTCTTTTGTTTTCCTTCGGTATATATATTTTTTTCATTCTACTTCTATTTTTTTCTTGGATTTTGGATTTTTACTATTTTTTATCATAGAGGAGAGAATGGGGAAGCGCGAGTTGGAATCCAAAAAATAGCTTATCATCAACAACGCAACAAACTTTCAAAAGAGAGTATGCACCATGGTGTTGTTGTTACTGCATCGAATGCTATTAAAAACAAATCTATGTTCGTTGTGTTCTATAAACCAAGGTNGAGTTGGAATCCAAAAAATAGCTTATCATCAACAACGCAACAAACTTTCAAAAGAGAGTATGCACCATGGTGTTGTTGTTACTGCATCGAATGCTATTAAAAACAAATCTATGTTCGTTGTGTTCTATAAACCAAGGTAAAGAAAATCATTTTGTTACTCTAATAAAACACTATGAAAATAGTTTACTCAACAAATACAGTTTTACTTATTGTTGATGTGATGATATTAGGTCAAGTCAATTCCTTGTCAACTTTGATAAAGTTTTTGATGGAGTGAATAAGAAATTCAGTATAGGCTCTAGGTTTTCGATGAAGTTCGAAGGAAGTGACTTTAATGAAATAAGGTTAATATTGAAAATTTATTTTATGTTTTTTAAAATATGATTACTTACACAAATGATTTTATATATTACTATAGATGCCGTGGAACAATAATAGGAGTGAGCGATTTCTCCACTCATTGGAAGGATTCAGAATGGCGAAGTCTAGAAGTAAGATTAATACTAGTTCCACTTTAATTATACTATCTTAGAATATATTTTCAAAGGTGTAATAAATAATATCCGCTAACTTTATTTTATAGGTTCATTGGGATAAATAGGCAACAATTCCAAGACCTGATAAGGTATCTCCATGGGAAATTGAGCTTTCAACACATTCCTCAAACCTTCTCGAATCAGATTTACTGAAAAATAAACGTCAAAACGAAGTGTATGAGTTTGGTAAGTAAACACTACTACTCAATAATTTAAACCTTCTTTGTGAATTAGTTATCATTTTATTTCTTTTTATAGGTTCAAATATGGGGGTTCCTATATTGAGCCAAGGCCAAGAAGTTGGAAATTCAAGCGCACAATCTTCAATGAGCTGCTCATTACCTACCATGGCCGAACCAAACTACAAAGGGCAAATGCTTCAAGCGGAAAAAGAAACGTCAACCACCACCGGGGCTACTAGCTACCGACTGTTTGGAGTTGATCTTACAATTCCGGAGAATACAAGGATCCCGTAGAGCCAATCAACTCACATAAAAAGCCAAAGATTTCTAAACATCTTTGAAGAAGAAAATCTTGACTGACACCCAAGCTAGAAGTCGTACTAATGCATGAAATAGATCACCATCTTCTTGTTTTTTATTTACTAGTCAAATTTAAAACTATTTATTATGTATGAAATAAATTTAACTATTTATGTTACATTTCTTATCTTCTTAATTCTTTTCTTTGAAATTTCCTAACAATGTAAATGATGGGAGAATGGACCTAGTANTCTTCTTAATTCTTTTCTTTGAAATTTCCTAACAATGTAAATGATGGGAGAATGGACCTAGTAAACATCACTTGTAATGACTGTTTTGTGATTTTCCTATTAATGAAATAGGAAAATGCATTAACTCTCGAGTAGAGGATCCGTAGACTCCACCTTTCTTTCACTTGTCTTACGGAAGACCATGGTCTTCTCGTTTATCCAAAGGCATGGCAATATAATTATGAGGTGGGGATGACCCATGTCCTCTGTAGTCATCTAAAACACTATAATAATAATTTCCTTTTTTTGGTCAAACACTACTATATATATATTAGAAACATAATTTATTGATATTAAAGAATTTTTGATATTTATAAAGATACATCTTTGACCCAAAACGTTTTTGGTAATATTGAAATTATTAGTCAAAACTCATATTCGAATACATATTGATGTAGGAGGTAATGTTTCACCTATAAATACAGACACATCAAAATCTATGCATCATACAAAAATAAAGATCATAAGAAAACAGAACTGTTCGAACAAAATAAATAAACATCAAAAGTTCTCATTAATTCGTCGAAAGGTAATATGCTTAGACAACTCTAAGTCTCTCACCATAACATTAAATTTTGTGTTGAAACTACACCATATTTGATATTTTAGTGTCAAATAATTTTTGTCATCTGCAACCATAATATCAAATATTACTGCAAAAATAATATTATATATTATTCTATGTTTTAATTTTTAAAATTTTATATTTTTATTATTTTTAATTGAAAAAGAATTATTCTATCACACATTAATATTATGTTTGTTAATTTTTATAATTTTATATTATAAAATTTAATTAGATTTATATTTTTGGTTTAAAAATATTATAAAATATTAATCATATTTAAATTATATTACAAAGCTATTAATTATATATTAGTTTAATATTTTATTTTGAGAAAACAAAAATAAATGATAATAAATATGTAGTAATTTTTTACTTGAAAATAAAATTAAAGATATTGTAATATGTAAACACAACTTTATATAAATAATATATTATATTATGTTTAGTCATAAATTTGAAAAAAAATAATAGTTAAAATTATTATTAAATAAAATATGTATATAAATATTTGGTGTGATTAATAGTGTTACACCAAATTTCGTGTAACACTACTCATCCTACACTATATTTCATGGGATGGTGTCATTTTTGATGTTTTATGGTAGATATAACTACACCAAATTTTGTGTTTTGGTGTCCAATGGAATTAGCCTTACCTTATGTTATGACGAGTTAGAATATTATATTGTTTTAGTACACATAAAATTTAAATTTATAATTCCTGATTTATTTTAAATGTATTTTAAACAAAAGAAAATATTCAAATAGACAAACTTGTATATATATATATATATATATATATTACAACATTTTATGAAAACTATAACAATGTTATAGAAGGATGAGAAAAATTACGAAGCTAAATATGTATATTTTCAAGTAATAATATCTATATTTTTTTTTTGTTTGAGGTACACTTCCATATTAATAAAACAAAACTAATCATGATTCGTTTATTTTTGTGCAAGTGGAAATAGATCAGTGCTTGGATAAGAGCTGATGGCCAGTAATCAAAGCATGCATGCCCAACCTGAATTAATAGGTATATGTGAGAAATTCTTCGATTTGATTTTGGTTTCTGACTGAAGAAAAATATTTATGGTATTAACATAAGACTGACAAACATATCGATGTCTACCTTAGTTATTGTATTTGTATGGTCAATTATGGAAGTTATATGCTGGTCCTCTGTTTGATCTACCAAAAGTTGGAGAAAAAGTATTTTACTTTCCTCAAGGGCATCTAGAACAGGCAACAATTTTTGTTACTCAATTATTTCTTTCAGATAAATTTTGATTTGGAAAACTTATTTCAAAATTTTGTTGTGATACCAGCTAGTTTTTTATTTATTTTTTATTTTTTTTATTTATTTTTTATTTATTTATTTTTTTTTTTTTATTTTTTATTTATTTTTATTTATTTTTATTTATTTTTATTTATTTTTTAATTATTTTTGTGATACCAGCTTACATCTATAAACGATGAACTATGTCAACTAAAACCAGTTTTTGATATTCCTTCAAAAATTTGTTGCAATGTTTTTAGTATCAAGCTTAAGGTAGGACTTATTGATTATTTATGTTTCTTATTTATAAAATGCACATGAACTATACTGATATTTTTTGGAGCTATACTAACTGGTTGTAAATGCTATTATATTGCTTGGGGTATATTTTTGTATGGCCTTAGGTAGAGACCTCTACAGATGAAATTTATGCAGACATTTCTTTGTTGCCTGATACATCTGTGAGTAGCAAAATAATAAATTATCTTTAATGATTTGATTGCAGCTCTTCTTAATATCTCTTTAAATTAATATCATGAGTTTCTATTTTGTTAGGAAGTTTAAATCCAAACTCCAAAACATGAAAACAACGTACAAAACATTAGTTATTTCACTAAGGTGTTAAGTGCCTCTTATACCGACAAAATGAGTCGTTTTGCTTTGATTAAAAGACATGCCATTGAATGTCTTCCTCCGCTGGTATTAACACTGAATTACATTGATTCAATTTGTAAAATGTTATATCAAATTTTATATCAAATATTTTCTTTAGGATATGTCTCAGCCAACGCCGAGTCAAGAGGTAATTGCTAAAGATATTCATGGTCAAGAATGGAAATTTAAACATACTTTAAGAGGTAACCACAAATTTTTATTCATATCATTACGAGTATTGATTACTTATATTTATTTTCTTACAAAAAAAATCAATTAGGTACACCACAAAAACATCTTTTCACATCTGGTTGGAATGAGTTCGTAAAGGAAAAAGATTTGATTGTTGGAGATTCTTTTGTTTTCCTTCGGTATATATTTTTTTTTCATTTTACTTCTATTTTTTTCTTGGATTTTGGATTTTTACTATTTTTTATCATAGAGGAGAGAATGGGGAAGCGCGAGTTGGAATCCAAAAAATCTTATCATCAACAACGCAACAAACTTTCAAAAGAGAGTATGCACCATGGTGTTGTTGTTACTGCATCGAATGCTATTAAAAACAAATCTATGTTCGTTGTGTTCTATAAACCAAGGTAAAGAAAATCATTTTGTTACTCTAATAAGACACTATGAAAATAGTTTACTCAACAAATACATTTTTACTTATTGTTGATGTG